CTGCTGCAAAGCCAATTTCCTGACTTGAATACTTTCTATGTCTGCTGCTTCCTGTCGTTCCAGAAACTACTATCAGCTGATTTGTACAGCAGGGCTCTGGCAGTGCTCCTCCTGTTTCTCCTAGTACATAGGAACACTGTACTCAGCTGGGTCCATGCCCTTCTACGGCCCTGTCCAGCTCTCCTCCTCATTATCTCATCATTAATGTAGCTTTTAGTTTCAGAGCTCCTCGGATGTGGAACAAGCTCCCAGAGAACCTGTGAGCTCTTTGAAAACCGGACAATATTATCTATATTTGCATTCCCAAACGTTCCACTTCTTATGTATTTAATCAACACATACACGTATACACAAAACTTCCCAGCACAGAATGAAATGTGGAGACATTATTAGAAACAAACATCTGACTTGCACTTGTTCCATCTTGGTAATTAAGCTTGACTGTATCTTTAACCTAATTGAAAAAGCAACAACATACTACTATAAATCGTATGATTCTGCTCTTACATAAGTGGTGTGTATCTTCACACACAGATGAGCAGCGATCGCTAAATCCAGGATGGTAAACTATCAGCTCTCCTGGTGATTAGAAGACTATCATTTAACAATCCTATCAGCCTCCCACTGATGATCATTATTGTCCCTGCTGCAACTTAAAATCTCCCTCTGAGAGGCCAGAGATCTGCTTTTACCGTCACTGTGACACAAAGAGGAGCTGAGAAGAGACATACAACACATTTCGACAGAGTTATACATTACTTTGATCGGCTGACATCATGCCCTTGTACTGTACAACCGTCTTTGTTTCTCAATGTACTAGTTGGATTTTATGTTTTTAATGGGCTGCAGTGCCTGAACCCTGATCTTTCAACCCCTGCAGTGCACCAATGTACCATGATGTGTGAGTCTATGGGGTGTGTTTCTGATTGGCTGCAAACACAGTGAAGCTGGAGGGTAATGTGATGATGTTAACAACATCCTGTCTTTCTTTTAAACAGCCCACATAACAGCTATTTGATGCTCCTGAGAGAGACCACAGGGGACTAATGGATGTCTTCAGCTTACAGCCACCGACCCCTCTGACGTCCAGAGGTTTCTCTGTGACTGTGCAGCTCCTTTCAATATCACACCAGGAGGGACAACGAAGGGGGAGTAAGGAAAATATCTTACATCATGTGTAAGGCCCGGTGTCCACCTAGCGGAAAATGCTGCAAAAATATGTAAATGCCATGAATGCAGGACTAATATTAGCTCACATTTGTTTATGCTTGAATGTAGCCGGTAATCACTGTCGCAATCAAAGATCAAAATCAAGGACCATCTGGGTATAAAACCAATCCCTGGTGGTCCTGGTTCACTACTTATTAATATGATACATGTAAAGATGACTCACTTCTCTGCAAGCTCACATTCATAACCTGATTTCAGTCGTTATTAACAGGAAGAAATGATCTGTAGATGTAAGAGAGGGGAAGAAAATGTCCATCACCTGACAGAAAAATGACTTTGAAAAAAAAGGAATTCTGGGTTGGTATATTCTACAATTGTACAATTCACTTAGCAGACGCTTTTATCCAGCGTATGTAAATTCTCTATACTGCTGACAATGAGCTCAGATCCATCCTGTCTCAGGCTGGACTGCTTTAGATACAATATAAAGGGAAGGATCAATGAAATGAATAAAAACATTATTATTTTGCATTCTGTGTGAGTTATTTGCAGGTGTGAAAGTCTCAAAGGCTCAGGTCCTTCATGGTAGAACTCGTGGAGGCTGAAGTAAAGACTTCAAGTCGTCTTTGACCTTTATCAGGTGCACTGGATGAAAAAGCTCCTTTGCAAAAAATAAAATAAAATAGAGACACTGCAGCGTGAAAAGGTCACACAGTAAAGACTGACATAATGAATATGTGTTGCAAAGGATACCAACACTTAAAACTTAATCAGAAATTGATGTTAAAGTCTGTGTCCTAGCAGCATGCATTCAGTTAGAAAATCTGCTCGATTCCACTTTTTCCTGTTTGAGTGCCTACAACCAAGCCATTTGTTTTTTTTGACCCCAACGCCCTGTCAACGAGGGAGATCCACAAGACACTGGGAGTGACCAGCAGGAAAACTTTACTTGACTTTCTATTTTTTTTCTGGCTCAACAGAGCTTGTTAACTTGTTTTACAAAGCAGAGATAATGGTGCATTAGTAATATCTATATCCTTAATGTTGCGTTTGATTCGTGTCAACACCAGAGAGAAACGTTGGTCGGCTCACCACTGCAAAGGCTCGTCACTACAACGCCACTCACTTCTGTTTCTCCAGCTTTAAAACAAAAGCACTAGATGTTCTACTGTTTGGAAGGGGAAACTGAAATTCACAGATCAGAAGAAATTGTATTTATTGAATGCAGAGTGGACAGTCTGTTGCTGCGTGATGGGACACGATGTTAGTTTGCTGTAGAAGTGAGCATCAAAAGTCAAATGGAACCTGTTGCACAAAAGTAGATAACAAAAGCCTTCTCATACTGTCACTAGAGTTCTTTTCGACATAAAATGATTGACCCGAACCCATGTGGACCCAGCAAATTCCTCTAGAAATACACATACCCAGACCTTTTCCCCTCAAGGTTGTAGCATGTTCAAGGAGAGAGAGAGAGAGAGACCCAACCGGTCTCATCTTTTAGGGATTTATAGAAATATGAATACAAATATGGAGCATTATTGTCATTTTACTGATGTACAACACAACAATAAAATGGAATTACAACGGCAGGTTAAACATGGATATCAATCATTTAAGGCTCAAAAACAATTACCATTTTAAAACAGTCCCTAAAAAATATCAATGAAGACAAACAATACAAGGCATGTGCAAATGAGCATTATAGCAGCAGTGCTATATGTAAATAATTAGTTATAAGGTACCCAAGCATAATGCAAAAAAAAAAAGAAAGGAAAAGGAATACAAATATTTTGGATTGTTCTCATTACACAATTGTTTGTTGTTGTAATACAAGCTTTAAAAGCTCAGGGATCAATGACCTTCTGTCAGCCACTGAAATCAATGAACATTGCTGCACTTCCTTCTTGTTGTTTTAGTTTAAAAATTAGCATGAAGGACGCCCAGAGAGAAGCACAGGGGGGAGAAGAGGTCCTGTACCTGAATCCATGTTCTGGGATCTCTTACAGCCATTCTGCTGAATAAACACGGAATGCTTCCACATTTTAAATCAATCTCGGAATAACTCAGAATTCCTCAACAATGATGAAATTAGTGTCTCTAGTAAGATGAATGTCTAAACACTTTAACAGTCTCCAGCCATGGAGGGCTGTCTCCGGTCTGTATTTACATTAATGACATAATCGCTACAGATGATCTTTTTTCACAGCAAGGGAACTCAAGAGAAGAGCTGCTGAATACACTCGGAATAGGACTTTAAAAGAGAAATGCAATGCAAGGGGAAGGACAATGAATTAAGCTGTCACAGCCTTTTACTGACTCAGGAGATGTGATGTAACTTTTAAAACCTATTTGAAAAAATGTATGTGAAGTCTTTATTAACAAAAAAAAACTCAAGGAAAGATGAAAATTGGTTTGTGCTTTTTTTGAGGATTTAAACTCACTCCCTTTCATCCAAATTTTCACCTACTAATCAATAGGGAACATAAATGAAGTGATATCTGGAAGCTAGTTCAGACAGACAACCGGAGCTTCACACTTGACATGTGACCTCCTCCAAAATCACCCCACAAACATCCTCCCACTTTGTCAGTAAGCTGCATTGGTTCATGCTGTCGGCAAATCTCAGCTGTTTGTCTAAAGATTCACCGAGCAAGGACTGGGGGAAATGTATAAGACTGACATAAAGAGTAAGCACGAAATACTAGGATCAGGTGTATTTGCTTCAAAGAATTTGGTGTAGTAATAACTTAAGGTTCTGCAGCTTCTGGTTTAAAGGACCTACGGGAGCGCTATCAAACTCTCTGCAACTTGAAGTCATTTAGACCCAAACAACACCCTCAGGTTTCAAAACAAACCTCCTCCTTAACTGAGCACCGAGGACAAAGGGAGAGAAACGGAGGCACATCGAAGTGAAGACGAGCTCTGCTGAGGGGTCACAGAACAATGTAGCATCATTATTCATATGTGTCCCATTCATACGTGGTCAGATACATGCATTCATATTCAACCTCCCCAGCAAAAAAACAGGAATCAGTGCATAAACAAAAATCTGCTGCATGACATCCATTATTATTGAAAACAGATAAGATCGTCCTACCAGGCGCAGAGATGGAGGATGGAGGAAAAAAAACAAAAAAACAAAGATGAAATATGTAGCTTTTGGAGTACATGTAAACATCATACTCTTATCTCTGTGAAACATGTGTTCTATGTTTAGAAACAGTAACAGGCCAGGAGAGTAATGAGTCAAGTCTGTGCAATGGAAAGCACAGGGTCTGCAGGATATTTAGAGAGATAGAAGAAGACCTCGAACACACCTGAAAAAAAATCATCACCTATCACTATGAGCTGCTGCTACTTGCCTTTTGACACGGCTGAACATTATTCAGGAAATATATCTGCAGCAATTACTGTACGCAGGGCCGAGGAAGGAGAAACTCCCCCTCTGCGTCCTGTGAGAATACTACTGCGATGTCCACACACAGTGATTATTAGGAACTGAACAACAGAGCATGGCTAAAGACAAGCAAAACCTGCAAGGGTGACTGTGATAAATAATTGGCTCATTTGTATTCTTTTGTAAGAATTGACGCTGCTTGGGCTCAAAGACAAGCACATTTCAAAATAAAGTTTGGTTTCTTTAAAGAAGAAACTACATTGCTTGTTACATGGTGCATGTAACGCTGACTAACACATGCACATGTGCGAAAGAAGTGAAATTTTACTTCACTGGTGACGTCCACAGTAAGTGCTCGGGTAATCACAAAAACATGGTGGGGATCTGGATCACTGGGATCTTTTTGAAACAGTTTCATGCCAGAGGAACTTACTTGAGTACATGTGATGAGCCGTTGATCTGCGTGGCTGTGCAGGCGGCACCGGACCCCAGGATGGACGGCCTGCGGTACCTCTTCCTCCCACAGCACAGGATGGTGAGGAAGGCACGGCGAAAAGTCCTGTTGAGGAAGGCGTAGAGGATGGGGTTCAGCATGGAGTTGATGTAGCCCAGCCAGAGGCAGGCGACCCACAGCTGGTCTGGCACTGTGTAGTCTATAAAGGGGTCCACCACATTCGTGATGAAGAACGGCGCCCAGCAGAGGCAGAAACAGCCCATGATAATGCACAGGATCTTCGCTGCTTTGGTCTCTGTCCGCATTCTGTGGTTACGCTGGTTGTCAGCAGAGTCCGATGCACCGGCTCCTCCCGCCCGCTGCAGTATGCTGATCTGCAGGGCGTGTGCCTGAGCTGTGACATAGATCCTCTGGTAGGCCAGCACCATGAGGACCAGAGGGATGTAGAACGCCACCACAGAGCAGGTGAGCGCGTATGGCTTGTTGACCATGAAGACACAGGAAGTGGAGTTACTGCCCTCGCTGTGACGCCGCTGCTCGATCTGGTAAAAGAAGTTACATCAGACAGGACAAGTTACAGAAGCAATATAGTCATTACGGCTGTTTTGTTTGGACCACATTCACTGGACTTGGTTTCCAAAACATTGACATGCAGGAAACTTTGCTGTATTGACTACCTGCACAAAACACAAACAAAACAAAAGAAATCTCTGCTGTTAACATCACATCGTTGAAAGTGAAATCCTATAATTTCACTTTCTTGGGACCTTATCATTTACAGAATTCCCTTTCACACAGAGAGACATTGTCAATGTCAGCTGTGCACTCACAACTTGAAATTCTCCACTTAGTTTAGGTGAGACTACAGCAAGTGTAAGGACATTTATACATAACAGTAACAACAGAATAAAACATAATTAAGACGACTGTTGTGGGTGTTAAAGAGTATCAAGCAGAAGAACTCTGCTCAAAGTAAACATCATCAACCTGCCCACTCACTTGCAGCGAATATTCCAGACTAGTACATGCTGCATTCACACATGGAAGAAGAAGAAGACATATTTGATTCACTGAGGGGAAATTACGTTTTTCACGCCGTTAGTGAACGTGATACACACACAAAGGGCAGAAACACACACACACATACATGCACAAACAGGATCCTATGGACATGCATTAGTGGAGAGGCAGAGTGAGGGGGCTGCACAAGAAAGCGCATCCAAGCTGTTGCGTTTCAGACTTATACCACCAACATGAACCAAATCAGATCACCCATGACTTCTCGGGGGGCTTTTTACTCAGGAGGAACAAACACACTGTACTTGTCTACATGAAAAAGTTTGCATTAAGTTAACTGGAACATATTCTGTTGTTTGTGTTCATATTTGCAGCCCACGTGGACAATGTTGGGGAAATGTTGTGGGCTGTTTTCAGTGCAGTGCATGTGTGAAAGGAGCCGTACAGTTTTAATGCCCCTGCAATGTTGTAATGGCCGTCGTGCATGCACTGATCCATCCATTCTTTGTTTTTTTTAAATCTCAAGTTGGGTCAAAAGCGGTGAGATGCTTAACAAGGTATTCTAGCTAATGAGCAACATTTTTCACTCCTTGTGGGGGATCCTGAGATATTCCCAGGTCTTGTTAAGATATGTAATCGCTTCAGTGACTCCTGGGTCTACCAGGGTTCTCCGTCTAGTTGGAGGTGCTCAGAAAACCTCCAGAGGATGAGCTAATTATTTTAAATTGCTTGTACTGGAAAGTCTTCTCTGATCCCAGTTAAAACTTGAGTAAGATTTCTGTGAGGACTTGTTGAATTGGTCTACTGGTTTATGATTTACATTCCCATAGCTAGCCATACAATTCAGTCAATTCAAGTCTACATTTCTGTAAAACATGACCAGATGTTTCTGAGTAAATAAGCTATTGTTACATTATCATCTTTTTCTTTGCTGCCAGAAGTATTTTTTTTTATTTCATGCTTCGATGGAATTGAATTAAAATGCAACTACCCTGACAAAGATTAGTGTTAGCTGTATGCACTAATGCCCCAACTCAATCCCCGAACATGACCATGCTGGCACAAAAGTTGGGATTTTCTGAGAATGTACGTGCAGTTTTTGGAAATAAATTCCCAGTGTAACCACTTGTTTAAGCTGCTGGAAATGTCTGCTTTACTATGCCATGAAACACCTCCTGACTTCATAACAACCCACTTAAAATCCAACGCTTCCCTCAGCCTGAGTCTCTGTGGTTAAAAAAAAAACAGAGCAACAGAAGTCCTGAAGGTGGGGGTGGGGGCTCTGCACCTCTTCATTAATCACAGACAAGTTCCTGCTCTTCCTCTGCTATCATCTCATCACTGAGGAAAACTGGCTCAGGGCTAAAAGATGAATAATGCAGAGATCAATCTATATCGCTGCCGGCACACGTTCACATGTTTGTGAGTTGAAGTCCTCTTCATGAATGGGTTTTTACGATGTTTTCCATGTGAGTGGTTAGGTCACCTGTTCTGCTGCACGAATGCACAATATGAGAAGAGTTAAAGCATTCAGAAAAGGATGAAAATGTTCTCTATTTCCATCTATGGGTCTGACAGGAACTGTTGAAAAAGCTCATTCTGAGTGATTTTATACTTTTTCACTGATATGTTGATTTATTTCACACTTTGGAGTCTTGCCAACATGCCTCATGAAAGCAGGTTTTGTCATTATTTTAGTGCTTAAAAAAAAGTTTAAATCCAATTCTAATGAAAATTATTTGGAAGTTGTTCGACCTCTCTTTGAAGCTCTATGCATCTTACTACACGTCTTTCTGGGGTAAATCCTACCATCTTTACACCTCATTAACATCAACTGATTGACTCTGTCAAAGTGAACATAAGGAGATAGTCCTTATCATCAAAGAGCTGAAGGCTGAAGTTGTTATTAATGGTCTCTTTGCTTTAGTAAATCCTATCTTTCTAGATTTAAGTGAAACATTTAGGAAACTTCATGTACACTAATGAGGAGGCCTAGTTTTGGTGTCTTGAACCTTTTCTGAAGACTAACAACATTCAGAATGAGTTTCACTTAATGGTGAGGCATAACTCACTTTTCAAATGTTAAACATGTTTCTGTGTGAGAAAATTAATTTGTTTGGTTTTTAACCCAACTTTTGATTGAATATCAGAAAAAGATAACTATGCTATTCATTTTGCAGCCCCAGCTCGAGCCGGCCCCGGCTCCTCGTCCTCACCGCCGCCGACAGGCAGGCCTTATGTCTCGGCTGCTGAGCTGGCCTCCAGCTGTCCTTAGTTGGTAGAGTCATCGCCTTTCAACCGAAAGGTCGAGGGTTCGATCCCCAGCTGAGCAACATGTCTGATGTGTCCTTGGGCAAGACACTTAACCCCACATTGCTCCCTCCGCTTCGGTGGCGGTGTATGAATAGATTAGTGTTGTACTTACTCTCTGATGTGCGTCGCTTTGGATAAAAGTGTCTGCTAAGTGAATTGTAATATTGTAATTGTAACAATACACAGCACTGGCCTACAGAAAAATGCTTCAATTTATGCTGTCCACATTTTAGTGGGATATATCATAGTAGGCTACACTCTTTAGGTATTTGTCTACTTACTCTCAACCTATATCTGGTTAATATTAAACATATCTTGTCAGCGTCCATCAGCTGAGACATAAGGCCTGCCTGTAGGCGGCGGTGAGGACGAGGAGCCGGGGCCGGCTCGAGCTGGGGTGGACTGGTAGTGTCCGTGCTCTCACTGTTTGGCTATGGACACAAACACATAGAGTCTGTTTTCTGCCACAAATTTCCAAGATACCAATTCCTTCTGGAAAAAATCTCGGGAATCAGTTGAGGAAACGGCCTTATGTGTTGAAGTAAATATGTCTGTAAACCTGACCTTAGTGGAGTGGCCTGCGGTGCTGTGCATTCTGGGATTTGGTGTCTTTCATCCACATGAGCCAAAAAGACACTTTCTGCCTTTTCTGGGCCGAGAAGGTATCAACTTCAACATTTATTTTACATTTCTACTACATATATGACCCAATGTCAATACAGATTCACGTTTCAACGGGTGAAGTATCCCTTTAACTGTTACTCAGGGTCGACAGCTGGGACAAACACATTTGATTTTTCATCCAGCAGACTGGGGTTTATTTCAAGTCAAGTCAAGTCAATTTCATTTATGAAGCACATTTAAAAACAAACCATGTTGAACAAAGTGCTGAGTGCTTAGAATAACACCATAATAAAAGACTAAGAGCACCTTCACACACAATAAGACACAAGCACTGAAATGATGATTAAAACACCAAAATTGACTTATACTAATATTTGAGGTATGTGACGCTTTTGCTATTACAATTAGCTTGGTCCCACTGACCTGGCTGCCATATTTAAAGTGATGGGAGTGAGAAGATGTTGTGTATTCATAGTCATACTGAGACATTTTGAAGAAAATGAACGAAAAACTGAAAGAGACTTTAAGATAACTCAATTGGTGTGATTAAGTGTGAAACTCCAGACAAGCCTCCTTAAGTAATAAGAGCAGCTCATTCCTCAGGGCAACACAAACAGAAGGAACCATTAAAAACAGACACTGATTTGTTGGTGTATCTCTTTGGTCTCTGACTTCAGGTTGTTTTGTTTGGGTTTGGGAGCTGCAGTTTGTGCCAGAGCTGACTCACTGCTCAGAATTTTCAACAGCTTTAATTGGACCCAAAAGAGAGACGCTGCTACCTCTGCTGCACGGTGCTTACTTTTCACCGTTGTGCTGTAAACTTCTGTTCGTGTACGTTTGAAAGAGAGGAAGGCAAAGATGTGTGTGTGTTGGGCTCTGCCGGAAAAGAGCTAGCTGGTTCTCTTGTCACTCTGCACACACAGACAGTTTGTATTTGAGTGCACACCGTCTCTTTCTCCTTCAAACTTTTATAAGCTTTCCTTCAACTGATTGTTTAGAAATGTGCCACAAAAATTCCAGTTATGCAATGGTTCAAACTCTTCCAGCATTGCATACTGCAGATATTTCAACTTGTATAAACAAACTCTGCAGCTACTCGACATGCCAGTCACATCCGCATCATCTCGGTTGAAACGCAGGCACGAGTGCGCAAAACCATCAATAGCCACTTCAGTGTCCAAATCTCTCTGACAGCCATGTCTCTGTAATCTCCGATAAGCAAGCATCGCTGAATTCTTTTCAATCCTGATACCGTCAATGGCTTGCACCTCGTCAGTTTTCTAGGATTTGACATCTTCACTTCAAAGCTGTACTTTGTGGGTATTTGTAACATCTTTTTCTTGTGTTAAAGTCATCAAAAACATATATTTACACTTCTTTCAAGAGAAAGAAATACTATTTCCTTTAAAGCGATTAGTAGTTTAAACCAGAGACTTTAAGACATTGTATATTTCCGTGCTCACAGCCAGTATTTAATTGGTGAATTGCTCCCTGTGATTTCTCTGTGTTATAAATCAAGCTGCACGTTTCTTAGACCTTGTGCCACGGCTCCTTGGACCAAAGAAGACTCAAAGTAAATGTGTATATTTCACAAAATCGAATGATGTGACTTTAGAAATATTTAAAAGCACAGTGTGTTTGTTCAAATATATGAAGAGAACATTACAGATAAGAAACAGATCACAGCTGAAAAGTGATGTATGTCCGATGTATGGAGGCTAGAGTTCTCCAAGCGAGCGGCCTGGGTTTGAATCCGACTTGTGACTCCTTTCCTGCATGTCATTCCCCACTCTCTCTCTATCCCTGATTTCCAACTCGCTCCACGTTCCTATCTCTATCTTTAAGGCCCAAAAGCCCAAAAATAAATCTTAAAATTGATTTCATTAGAACAATAATAAGCACCTCTGGACGTCTACCAGATACTTATCGTTTTCTAAACTGCATGATCTAATAAAAGCTTTATATAGACAGCATGACGGAAGAAAAGAGACAGTTGCTTGTACTGTATTTCAGTCTTTTAAAACTTTTTTTGAGTTGTAAGCACTTCTTATGACCCCTTAGCAAAAGTTTTCATTTATTTATCGGGAATTATGGACAGTAAAACTAAAGTCAGATTTTTTAATTTGAAAAATGTTGAGGTCTTAGGGGGAATTAGGTTTCCACTATCGTGCAAATAAAAGTCTAAATTTAGAGTAAAAAGTTGAAATGAATATCCTTTCATAGTTTTCTTTCCATCTTTCTCACAGGATTGAGTTCCAGCAGGGCATCTGTTCAGAAACACATATTTGATCTTCTGTTAAATTGCAATTTCAAAGGTCAAGGAGGTCAAGAACGACCCTCCAAACGCAATATTTGTCCTTCTTTTACAATAATCCATCTTGTTTCCCCAGTCACTTTCATCCTAACCCAAGGTTCCTCTCACATTATACCTCTAAATCGCCACAAATTGTCTCAGTTTAAAAAACACCAGAATATTTCTCCTATGCTCTCCGTCTGATCCTCTGCATCTTATTCTCATTAAACAAAGACACTGAGTCACCCATTAAATGAGCTACTTTACATTTTCACAGCTTGACTTCATGTCTGTGGTGTCAGCGGCCTTGTCCCTCTGTCTCTGTGTCTGACATGTTGATGCTGTTGCCATGGTTACACATGAAGCATTTCCTCTTTGTTTAAAGCAATGCTCTTCAGGACTTTGATTTGTCCCTTTGCACATGATGGACACTAACTGTTGTTTTTCTGTGTTTATGGTAATCATATTTGAACATATTGAGTTTTATTTCTTCTTTCTTCTTAAATACAGCATAGAAAGAGAAAGAGAATTGTTCATAAAGCTTGTTTTGCTTTAGTGAGCTAGTACCTTGTGAGAGCAGGAAAGAACAGCCATCGACCTTTTTGTCCAGATATGCTCAAAAGGTGGATGTACTCACATCATGTATACAGTACAAATAAAACACAGCGCTCACCAGGTGGTCGATGCCGATGCTGTTCCAGCCCTGCATGATGGGCAGGAAAGAGATGAAGGTGGGAATAACCCAGCAGCCTCCTATCATCAGAGCCACTCGCATCGGAGTCATTTTGCACGTGTAGACCAGAGGCTGGCAGCAGATAGCGTAGTACCTGCAGACAAATGACAGAAATACTGATCAACCCATCGCAGCAGATCACATGAAAACTAAAACATCTCATACTGTATATGACTTTTTAACTTGAATCCAGCAGTGACGGCTACCTTTGTATTCTGGGATGGTTAAATGTTCAATTTGATTTACAAACTTGCAGTAAATAGGAATTCCTACATATTCAAATTCCAACATCACAACAAAATACAACCGATACGACTAAATGTGACTTGTTTATTTCAAGTCGTTTCAGTGCCTCTGTTTTTGCCTCTCCTTTACATTTTAAACAACCTCTAAGGCAAGACATGAGGGTTGTTGCTGCAATACATTCGCAAAAATAGGCTTTCCGACAATAATTAAGCACTAGAACATTTTCAAAAATGTTCTCCTCTTTCCAATTTCTCTGTTTTATGTCTAAACCTCTCTCTCGCTGTTTCTCTCGGCCTCTTTTGTACTCAGTTTATTTTTACTCTCTCCCACCTTGAAACCACTTTCAACATCACTGCACTCTCCTGGCTCAAATCATACCTCTCTGACAGATATCAGTTCATCAGCATAAACCACTGCAAGTCCCCCACTACTCCTCTCTCCCAAGGTGTTCCACAAGGTTCAGTTCTCGGACCCCTCCTCAATATCCTGTACATGCTCCCCCTTGCTCAAATCATCCACGCCATGGACTTGATGACATTCAGCTCCACATCACCACCAAAGCCATCACTCCCGCCACTCACTCAATACATTACTCCACCCCTTACTTCTCCCTCTCCATAGAGCTCCACTGTACTCCCCCACGTCCATAACCTTGGTGTCATCTTTGATCAATCCCTTTCCTTCAACAAACACATCAAACACATCACCAAAACAGCCTTTTCCCATCTCAGAAACATTGCCTGCCTCCGCCCATCTCTCTCCTTTTCAGCTGCTGAGACCCTCACCCACACATTCATCATTCCAGACTGCACGACTGCAACAGTCTCCTCTACGGTTCATCATCCAAAACACTCAAGAAACTCCAATGTATCCAGAACTCTGCTGCTCGTCTTCTCACACACTCCTGCATCTGTGATCACATCACTCACCCCCATCCTTCATAACCTCCACTGGCTCCTCATTCCCCAGCATGTCCACTTCAAACTCCTCCTCATCATCATCATCATCATCATCCACCCGCACTCTCAGGTCTGCTGACACAAACCCCCTGTCAACCCCCTTGCATGACCAACCATCGGTCCAGGGGGGACAGGGTCTTCTCCCTTGCCGCGCCAACCCTCAAGAACTCCCTCCCGATTATTATTTTCAGATTTCTATCCTTTTAATTTAATCTTTTTCTGTGTGTGCCTTCAAACTTTACTCATGTCCCCTTTCTCATTCTTTCATCATTCTCTCTGCTTTAACCTTCAAATATAACACTTTTATCATCTTTTTTTTTTAAAACCAGGAGTACTTCAAAACCTCAACAATTCTCAAACACATCAGAAATGACACATGCACCATGGCATAAATAACTGTCATGACATTATCTCAGTGCATCTGATGCATCACGCTCATTTCCTCCTCTGTTGGTCAGTGAATTGTGGGTTGGCCTTGGCTGCTGCATGTCTGCAGGAGACAGGATGTTCAGCTGCAGCGTCTCATTACTTGTCCTTGATGACAGTTATTAGTCGTTAGGATAACGATGGCTGACAATGCTGAACTGCCCTTGTTTTGTACTGGTAAGGGGTCGTGCAAAAACAGCCTTAATTGACACAGGTCCTTAGTCAGACTAACACAATAAATCACACACTTTGCTCCCGTTTATCCAGACTTTAATGGACAGGACTCTGATTCTGGATAAGTTGAGAAATTTTTACTGAATGTAAAATTCCTCAACCTCAATTTAAGTCTAACAAACGGTTTTCATGATAACAGATTATATCCAGTTTTTTGCCTTATCGCCTTTCATTGAAAAATAGATTGACTGAAAAACACATTAAAATGTCTTCCTCTTTCTCCGACTCAGATCTGTCCCTCTTCTTTTACAGTCTGCCTTGATATTTTCTGTCTTTTACGCCAAAGAGTCAACAAAACCTCGACTTCAGCAGCCATCGTCTTTTCAAACAGTGAAACAAACAGGATTTAGCTGGTTTCCAGTCATTGTGTACAGAAATCCCACTGAAACAAGACACTAAGTTCTTCAATTGAGGTTTTCTCTTTCTATGTATCAGTCTAACTTCATTCATAACTTCCTCACTTCCTGACTCACACATTCACTCTGACTCCAAAGAGGGAGTGTAAGTGTGTGTCTGAGTGTGCGCACGCGAGCATGATATCACACACTACAGCAGGAACTCCCAGCATGCTGTCAGGGAGTGATATCACTACAATGATGCTGGCACAAAACTGCATGAATGAAATCACACGGGTGATAGGGGAAAAGGATGAATGAGTGCGCAGAGATTGAGGTTGAAAAGAGAGGAAGGAGAGATAAGAAAAGGATAGAGAAGGAAATTAGGAAAAGAAGAAGAGGCAAAGCAAGGGGGGAGAAAGGGGGAAAAAATAAAGGATGCAAAGGAAGAGAAATCGGAAAAGGAAAAACAAGCAGGAAGGGAGACAAAAAGATGAATCTATGTATGGAAAAGCTCAGATGACAGATGCATCGCTTACTGTAACAAATCCTCCATAACTGCAATTTCACCTGGGTCAATGACTGTGAGAGTGTGTGTGTGTGTGTGTGTGCGCATTCTCTGAGCACTCAGGTCTGTTGCAGTGTGATAGGAAACAGATGAAGTCGACCAACCGAGCCACTCAGACCTCTATTACCCTCTAACCAAATGGGTCTACGTATGTTTACGAGTGTGTTTCTGTGTGTATAATGTGTTTGTGTGCGTGTGTGTGTGTGCGCCTGTCTGTGTGTACAATGTGTATGTGAGCCCTTGCAGCGTATCTACGAGCATCCATGTCATGCTTCACTGTGTTTAAGATTTCCTGTTTTTGTGTTGGACATAAGAGCTGGAAAAAGGTTTGCGGCAAACAATTTGTGTGGCTGATTAATACTGAAAAAAAAAAAAAAGAGTGACATGCTTAACAATTGTCAACTTTCTCATTTCCTTTAAAATGTTTTGCTTAATTTGCTATTAATGTTTGTTTTGCTGATTTTTCCCCAGTGTTTTAATGCACTTTGTATAACCTCTGTGTATTAAATAGGAAAAACTAAAAGTAAACGTTCCTTCCATATAGGACCAAAATAATTGGTTGTATATAAGGAAATGAGTAGGCTAAATGCTAATTAAAAAACAACAACAATGATTATTTTCTCAATTTTTTCATTGCATGGTGAAGCATCAAACGCTCCCCGTCCGCACTGCATTTGTTACATTTATTTCTCTGCTCTGTCAACTTCAGTTCCTCAGAGTAAGTATTATAACATCTAGGCCATTTATTTATTTTGAAGGTGTAGAAAAGGAAGAAGCACATTTTTCAATGCCTGCCCACAGAAAGTCGCCAAATTCAAAATATCACATCCTTGATCAGCTTGGGAGCACACTCGTCGGTGGAACATGGCAGAAAGCAGTGTCACTGTGGATATGGAGCAAAATGATTTCAATGCTGTAATGCTGGAGTATTTTATCTACCTGTTCTAAGCTCCAAGAACATTGAGCATCAGACTTAACAAAATCCTCAAGTCATTTTCTTCTGCTTCAGTTGGCCACCTCTTTCCAGCTTACAAACTGTATGACACACACTGCATGCTGCCTTTCTGTCTTTTTTTGAACGTTTTTTCCCAAGCAGTCATTTTAACTTGGAAATTTGGTTTACATGGGATATGAACACAGCGTCTGGCTGACAGTCCTGTTTTTGCCCCACTGTTTACAAGCCAATTACTGTGCAGCAGGGCAGGAACAGGCTGGATTATATTGGAGAACAAATAACAACTACTTCCCCAACACCAAACATCTAAAAGAAAACTTACTGATGGTGAAAAAATCAGTTTGTTTCAGCCAACGACTATAACTTTGAAAGCATGTTGGAAGCGGTCCCATGTTGGAAATGCTCTCTCAGTCTAACTTTCAGTCAACCTAACAACAGCCTGAGAGCTGGAGCTGAGGCAGGTTTAAGCCTTTTGACAAACAGATACACCGTGCCCGTCTGTCAGGTCAGCTAAGTGCCTTATTGTGAATACATTTTATCTGTCATAAAATCAAAACGGACGAGTAATCAAAAAAATCCCCCCCCGAAAGAAAAAATTGAAGACCAAAGTGAATGCTAGACTTGGCATGATCGGGCACAAACACATCTCCAGATGAGCTGAAAGGGTTCAAAATAAGTTCTATTATACTATGTTTTGTATGTTATACTTGACAGAACTCATAGTATCAAAACTAAAACTAACTTAAAAGAAGTCAAAGTTGACGGACCCACACCACCACACATGATGCCATTCTTTAAAAGTAATTTGTCAAACTTTTTTTTGTCTTTCTGAAAGACTATCTTTAGGGTGCCTTTTCGCCTTTATTAGGACAGGACAGTCAAAGATAGACAGGAAATGTGGGGAGAGAGAGAGTGGGAGATGATGTGCACCAAACAGCGTCAGGACCTGAATTCAAACCTTTGACCAGTGTGACGAAGTAAACTAAATCAGCAACCCTTGGTTTTTCTTTCACAATAGCTAAGCCTTCCTTTAGAGGTCAACGTCTAACTGTTATTAAGGGTAAAACAAATGTTGCACATTTGACTTACACATGCATATATGTTGTACTGATATTCTCTGTTTTTGAGCTCTGTCTCCCGAGGCATTCAACAAGAGAGAAAAACTGCATTAAAAATAATTGTATCCAAAATGACATCCATCCTAAGAATGACTTTATAATAATCAATATTGTTGTTGCAGCTTTCCTTCTGATTAAGTGTCTAACTCCCACACTCATCCCCACCACAGCAGCTGAATTTACACATTTTTATAACTTTTCTGATCCTCCCTGGGATGACTGAACACTGAGCTCTGCAGCAGCAGTATTAAAG